CTTGTTTCAGAAATGTTTTTTTAATAAAAACTAGTAAAAAAATGTCCAACAAAGAATTTCTTTTTGTTTCAAAAAGGAACAAGTAGGTCAAGTTGATACAGCAATACTATCTTTCCTATAGAGTAACACTAATTTCCTATTAGAGGACTAATCTACTGTATGCACATACGGTATATAATAAATCACAAAATGTACATCAACTTCAGGCATTGGCTTTCTGATTGAAGTATGTATGTAACATTTAATTATATTATTGAAAAAGGCAATAGATATATCTGTCTTCATAATTTTAAATTTGATAAAATAAATGATTGATAAGGAAAAATTATCCATCTTGATGAAGAATTGAGATTATAAATAAAATAAATTAAGCCATTTCTTTTTCACCTTGTATTTAGAAAAAAAACAAATTAAGCAACTAAGATTATCTATTATAGGAATGCTTTAGGACAAAATTATAGGAACAGATAGTTCTTGACTCTTAATTTTTTAAATGAAAGAGAAGTCTAACAAGAGGTGAATTTTACTTTTTCCCTTTCTGCTAATTGGAGAAATTTTATTATGACAGATTTACCTGTTCTTCCAGGAAAAAAAAAAGAAACAGTTTGGAATTAAAGGGCTTACCAGTCTCTGGACTCTCCAATTCCCACCTGTTATTTCATCTGCTTTTAGTATAAAACACAAACTACAAGGAAAGCAGGAACAGATACCTGTATATCTAATGTGACCTTTAGTGGTAAGTTTCAATTATAATACAGATTCTGGTTTCATTTTTTTTTAATTACATAAAGGTTATTAGCATTTTTCAAGAGGCTTTTAATCTACAATCCATTGAAATACTGTTCTTCACCATTATGTAGAAAAGGAAAAAAGGAAAAACAATGCAGAATGATAGAGACAAAAAGGCCCATTTTTCAGGGATTGCGTATTCAGAACTTGTTCATGATTGGAGCATGATAAAGACTAAGCAAAACCTATGCACCAGAGATGATTGTTTTGTGCTAACATACATTTAGAATGATAAAATGGGACATGGGCTACCATAATACGGTTGACAAGAAGGGATGACAAAAGGACAAACCTACTTTTTTCAAAAGGCAAATTGGTGCACTTGTTCTCCCCCCTCCCCCCCCCGCTTCCCAAAGCTTTCTATTATCGTTTCTGTGTTCACTCCTAGTCCTGAAGGAGGTGGGCACATTTCCAGATGAAGCACTGTCTGTCCCTACTCCTATTCTATCCTCTAAGAATTCCTATGAAGTTAATGTAGATACAACTGCATATTTGGAAATAAAAATGGTGATGAGTGTTGGTACTTTGCTTTGCAGCAATCATCAACCCATTGTATTATTATAAATAAAATAATAATTTTGAAAAATGAGGTAAGATACTAAGCAAACATTGAGAGTACCTGCAGGCACATTGGTGTCCACTTCAATGTTATCATAATGTGTATGTGTGTGTATCCAAAACATTCAAGAAAAACAGGCAACATTTATAAATAGAAATGAATTATCTTATCTAGAAAATTATAATTATTCATAGTTTGCAAGACATAAAAATGTGGTATCAGAGAAACTGGCTATATCAGATATTAATACTAGACCAGTGGTTCTCAACCTTTTTAATGACAGGACCCCGAACCAGTCGTAAGTTGAGGACTACTCAACTGGTGCAGCACCGTTTGCAGAATGGGACTTTTGGCGGGCTCAGCAGGGCAGAGACAGCCTGGACAATTTCTATTGGCTTTTGAAAGCCAATAGAATTAGACTCTATTCAAGAGAGTCTATTCTATTGGCTTTCAAAAGCCAATAGAATAAAGGGGAGTAGCACAGCTAAGGAAAAGGGGAAAAAAATGGCGGACTGCATTGTTTGGCGACCCCGTGAAATGGTCGTTCGACCCCAAATGGGGTCCCGACCCACAGGTTGAGAACCACTGTGCTAGACCATAGTATTTAATGCTGGAATCAATGGTGACTCAGAAACACTACTTATGTGAAAGTTAAATTAGGATCTTTGGTAGGCTTCATAGTTCCAGCAAGGGAGCAGGTCTGTTGTTTTTCCCCATTTACTGTACTCTGAATGTATTAGACAGTTTCTCCATAGTTGACAATCATTGGTAATCTTGACACATCTGGAGTTAACAACTTGTGATGGACTCTGTTTCATAGCTACACTCCTACAGTAGCTCTGTTTAGCATGGGCCAGAGTTTCATAGATTCAGCCAATACCTTTTTTACACCTGGCCATCAGTTTTTTCAGACTTTTCAACCTGAATAGCCATGATTGCTTTTAGTTCTCCTGATTTTGCTACACTAACCATTAACAACTTAGCGTATTTATGTAGAAACAATTTTGGAGGAAAAAGGTCTTATCAAGTTGCAGATTGCATCACCACAATTTTGTTCTCGGTCTACTCAAATTTGGCTTCTACTAACTTTGCAAGAGATTATTTTTTACAGTATGTATGAAACTCGAGGAAACAAGTTTCTTTGTTTGGAAGATGAAATCAATCTGATCCAGGGTCTATTGAGACTTTTTACTAGATACAATGCTATAGTTTATACTATGCCTTATCTTTAGCTTTGAACTGTGCTGCAGTATTTCTCTTCACAGGCACCTAAGTGAGAAACAGCTGTGAGTGCAACTTTCCTGCATCAGCATTTTCAGCCCAGACCTCACTGCTCCTTACAATTTCCGCAGTTTTGAGAAAGTGTAGAGACAGCAAAGACTTAACACAAATGTGGGGAGGGGAGGGAGGTATTCCTTAAAGGGGAGGGACAGCACCAGAAGATGGTCACCAAGAAATACTGGCTCGTTGTTAAATGAAATGAAAAACAAGAGACTTATACTGTAACTTGCATCTCACAGCAATTCCCATATGATGTATAAACTAGGTAAATTAGTGATTCAACTATGAGCAGTTCAATTTTCTGGGTGGTTGGCAGGTACCTAAAGGCAACTTCACCCACATAATAGTTTTTGTTTTATTAATGAAGAGAAATTAAAAGCTGTTAGAATTTCTGTTGCTTGAGCATACCTAACTCTCTGGGGGATGCAGATAAATGGCAAAAGCTATTCTTAGATATGCCTGATCCTAAGTCAGATAGTCAGTTCTGGGAATAATATACTTGTCGAAAGTCTGTATGTGACTGAATATCTATGTGAGATATAAGGAACCATCTGACATATGTTAGAAATTGGATTATGGATAGGAAGCAAAAGCATCTTGACAGTTTAGGTAAACTCCTACAGACTAAAAAGACACAATACACAATTACAATTAATTTTCTCTCTCTCTTGCTTCTCTTTTAATACAAGAAGACTGGATCTATAGGGTTCTGATAAGTGGGGATAGCTACAGAACTATTAAATGATTGATTTCTTTGCTGATGATAAAGAAAGCACTATTGAGGAAAATATGTGAGGGAAAGGTTTGAAAACTTTCTAGTAAGCAAGTCTTGTCTAGAAAAAATGAAAGTGCTGGCTTAGGCAGCTTATTTACAATGAAATTGTGGATCAGATACATTTTACTATTATTGGCTAGATAATAAAAACTGTCTGACATTCCATACAGTATTTAAAAAGATATTATAAGGCCATTTTCTCTAAAGTCATTTATAGTATCTTATAGCCTCATTCAAACCTTGCTGTGCTAATAACAGTAATGAAGCTTTATATTGCCACAACATTGGCTGATGTTGCTATAAAATGCTATAAAACACTAATGAAGAAATGGACTAAGTCTTGCAAATGTGGATGCATCAGCTACAAGACTTGCTCTCTGGAACCTTCCAGGACTCTTGGCACCAAAGTATCCCGTTGGATCTCTCTTCCTAATGACTTTATAAGCAACCAGCACTTGTCTCTTTCTCTTCCCTTCCCCCACGTTTTTTCCCCCTTTGCTAAGATCTAGTTGAGAAATAGCGGACCCTGCACCCGCGGGAAAACGCTAGGATGAGTGTAGTTGAGAAATACTGGCAACTCACATGTCTACTCTAGAATATGCAGACTAACGTTAGACAGCAGTTACCTCCGCGCGTACACAAATTTTTTGCCCCAGCTGCGGGGAAATCAATCTCAAAGAGGAAAGCATTCGTGCCGCTTTTTTTTTTTAAAAAAAGAGGTTTATTCTTCAGCAGTGATATTGTAATAGCTGAATTTAGTATCGTGTAATTCTTTTTCACCAACTGGGTTATCATTTTCTTTTTAAATCAAAAAGTTTTCAAATATTCTTCCTTCAGTCTCTTTTCCGTTGCGCTCGGGAACACGGAAGGGTCAAGGATACGTAACTAGACCTTTTTTTTTTAAACTACAGACCCCACCAGGGGCACTTTCTGCTTTCTCCACTTATCCTTTCGCAAAACAGACTTCTTTCAGGAAACAGCTGTTTGTAACTTTCTCCCCCCCCCCCCCACAAAAGAAAACCCTGAGTTGTAAAGCCCGGCTAGACGAGGACGATCGAATCGCAGCCTTCCTCCCCCCCCCCCGCCGTCTGGTACCAAGCGCCTCACAATAAGGGCCTACGCGTGGAACGCGGCTCCGTCTCGCGCCACCTCGGCCCTTCAGGTTCAGCCTCGACGTTCTGGATCCGCCCCAGCCGCGCGCGCGCGCTCGCTCCTGGGCACGTGAGCCACTTGTTTTTTCCACCAGTGGCGCTCCCGCCCGCTATTATTGTTCTGAGGGGGAGGGAGAGCCGGGCGAGAGAACCTTTGGGCACCTCCCCTTTAAGGCTCGGGGCGGCTGCACCGAAACAGCTTCATGAATGGAGACACGTGACCCAAACATCACGTGACGTATCCGTGAGCGGCGGTAGCGGCGGAACCCGGACTCTCAGTCCCTGTGTGCGTGGCGGCCTCCCCCTCCCCGCCCCGGACCCCCCCCCTCCGGAGGCAGCGAGCGGAGGGTGAGAGATTGCACGGGCAGTCCGGGGGCCCGGTTCCCTTTGGAGGGTGGGTAGGAAGGCTAGTGACCCCCCCCTTCCTGCAAGAGCGGGAGGAAGAAAGAAAGGAAGGGGAGGTGGAGAAGGAGGAGGAGAAGGAAAAGGAATTAAGAGGGGGCTGGGGGGGGTTCCTCAGGGAAGACCGCTCCTTTCCCGGACGATCGGCGGCTTCTGGAGTTGCATTTCTCCCCGCGGTGTTTATTTTTGGAAAAAGCGCCTCCTGCTCTGGACGCGGGGACCCGGACTGCCGGGAGCGCGATCCGCGGCTCTCCCCCCTCCCGGCTGTTTCCACCCGGGAATGTTCTGGCGGGCTCGGAGGAGGGTGCGTGTGTCAGAGTGGGGAGGCTGAGAGGGCGAGGTGAGCCTGGTATTTCACCCGTCGAGATTCGCTTCTCCCGTCTTTTCCTCCGCTCGCCGACTTCCTTTTCCGCGGCTGACAGGTGGGTGGGTTTCCCTCCTCCTCTCCCTGCCTGTTTCCTTTGGAGTGGGTCTGCGGCGTGGGTGGCCGTCCTTGTTGCCCGCGGCTGCAGGTCGCGGGAGAGAAATGCCGTCGCTCCCCGGCTCCTCTCTTTCCCCGGGATCGTCGTGATGGTTGAGTTTTTTTCTTCGCAAGAGGTGGGGTTGAAAGAAGAAGTCCGGCCCTTCCCCGCTTGTTCTCGGACTACGGAGCTTGAGTGCGCTCTCACGATCTGAGAAAGTAGCAGGGAGGTAAGCTGTTTCCCCACACGATGAAGTCTGTGTGCGCGGCTCCGACGACGTGCAGCCATGTCTGCGAGTGTGAAAAGGGCTTGCCGTGCTGACTCATCAGGTGTCTGGGAACGGAGGAAAGGGCCGAATGTTTTTGGGGTGGGGCTCAGGAGGGGGGGGTTTCACAGAGTGTATGGATGAGGTGGACTAAATTACCCTGTTGTATCTCCTGGCACAGCCTTCTGTGTGCAGAGTCCAGACACTGCTGACTCATCAACATGAGGTCACCCATAAGTATATGCTGCACAAAAAGGGATGGGGTCTAACTAGGGTTAAGGGGACGCGGCAAAAGAAAGAGGGGAACCCAAATAGATAATCTGCTGATTCATCATTTTGAAGGGTAGTCAGACTTGACCTCAGATTCCCCTTTCTTTCAGCTACTTGTCTATATTTAAGTCCTTGTGACAGTTGCTGATCCTTAGCATTACCGTAGTGCTGTGTTCATTTGTAGTGAATAAGGACGTAGGAGAGAGTGTGAATATGAACTTGGTAAAAATGGTTTATGGAGCTACTGGGAATCCTTTGGGGAATGAATGAGAGGTGCTGGGATGTCCTTATACTCTCGGTGCACACAGCTTACTGACTCTTTTGTTTTGGATAGTAAAATTGTAGGTCCTGAAAACCATAGCTTTATGCATGGGAACACTCCTTCTGTTGTAGTCCATGTTGCCTCTTAGACAAACAATGTTTTCAAGAGCTGTGGAAAAAAATCTTGGTATATTATTTTTGCAGAAATGCAAAAGATGTAGAAATGCAGTTCTGGATGGCTCATTTGTGTACCAAATTACAGATGTGCAACAAGTGCATCCGGTTCTCTGTTGAGTCTCTTCTGGGAAATTCTCACAGCAGAGCTCTTCCATTATCACCTACAAAGGGCAGTTTGTCCTCTGTCAGTCTGATGATTATTTATGGGAGCATAAATAAATGTGAATAGTGAAGGCATAATAATTATCTGTAAACGTATTGCAGGCAAAAGAGCTAGTCAGTTTAGCCCTATGTCTTCTAAAATAAAATAATAAAAAAATTGTGATACATCTATTTTGAGAAAAATGAATAGTTTCAATGTTATAAACCAGTCATATCTGATATAGAGCAAAGATAATTAGAAGATGAACATAATTTAAAAACTGAAATGCCTCTTACTATTTCTCTATTATCTCAAATTGGAGATAAATAGGCCAGTAGACATAAGTGCTGAAATTATTTGACTAACTCAATGTGCATTGACTATTTACAGAACTGCAATTCCTTGTGTGACTTGTGGCTCACAGAAAGTAAACTAAGAGTGTTTTATTCAGAAACAGAAATCCGTAGATATGAAGGGAGCTTTGTTTTTGGTATAAAGATGAATTTCAATTATAGGAATGGTATGAGGCTGACTGTCTTCTAGATATTTAGGAAAAGTGGAATTTTGATTTCCATTCTGCTGAGTAAGAGGTACAGTGGTAGAAAGCAAATTGAAACATTAGGTACATTTGGGAGACTTTGCCTGAGGCCAGTCATGTTGATTTGGAGGAGGCAATATTCCCTAGTGATATCTTTCTGAAAATTTTACAGAACAAGCATTTCCTTCTACATTCTTTTGCCCAGTTAAGAGCACTAAATGTCAATTTAAGTTTAGGAAGCTAATTGGGAAGTTATTTGTAGGCAAGTTTCTGCAAATGTATGAACAGCAGAACCATATACAGATAGATGAGAACAAGATGATGTCAACAAAGGTTTTTACATTACACTTGTGGAAAAACCTCCCACATGGGTATACCCTCCAGCTTTTGATTCTCCCCTGTAGCTTGTTTTCTTTTTCATCTCTTAAAGCTTTTTTCTTCTTCTTCCTGTGATGGTGCTGCCTTTACTGCTGGAATAGGTGATGTCATTATGTTTACACTAGTTTGATGGCATAGCTTGCTGAACCAGGAATGTTGAGAATGGGGCCTGTGTTGAATCATGCACTCTGCTGTCAACTCTGTTGTAAGCAAAGAATTGGCGGCACTTGTGCTGAGTGCAGGCCTTTTGGACTTCTGGCAAAATGTGTTGAGGTTGCACTTTTTTTTCCTTTACAGCCATCGCACTTGGCACTTTTCAGTGTGATCTTTCTTCGGGAAGCTGTCAAAAAGCTGAGAAATCAGCAGTCTAGGGAGTTAGACCAAGTTTGTCTCTGTCTGGATGCCAATTCTCTGGCTGTCCTTCTTGTAAGATATTCACAAGTGCAGCTTCTGTGCAGGGCTATAGAAAGACCTTGTATATATCCTAATTTAGGCATAATACAAATACTTTGGCCACCTAATGAGAAGGAAAGACTCACTGGAGAAGAGCCTAATTCTGGGAAAGATTGAGGGCAATAGAAGAAGGGAATAGAAGACAGAGAATGAGGTGGCTGGATGGAGTTACTGAAGCAGTAGGAGTGAGCTTAAATGGACTCCAGAAGATGTTAGAGGACAGGAAGGCCTTGAGGAACGTTGTCCATGGGGTCGCGATGGGTTGGACACGACTTCACAACTAACAACAACAACAACAACAGAATGTGAAAATTTTCATAGGTTTTTTCCACTTAGTCATCACTTTCTTTAGTGTTTTTTTAATAAATGATGAATGGAAGTGAATCTTTCTAGAAATGAATCTGTATGATATCTGATATTAATAACATGTTATAACACTAATAACATTAGTATAAGTAATTAATCTTTAGAAACTTAGGATAAATGAACTTTTTTTGTGTTCGACTCTCAGCACTACTGGACAGCAATCTTTGCTGATCACTTTTAACAATGAAGGTCAGCTCCAGTCAATTTTCAGTCCTTTTGTGCAATCTTCTCACTTCCCAAATGTTAGCTGCTTTCATAAGCATTAATCCTGATATATACTAGAAGTGCAGTACTTGCCCTATGAAGAGCCTCACTAAATTATCCAGGCAGTTAATCTTGTATACTCTTCTACTAGGAAATATTTCCTTGGGATTTTTTATTGATTGTCACTAATGCTAGCATAGTGATTCTTAAGGTTCTGGCCTGTATTGGATTTACTGTGTGATACCAAATCTGTTTTTGGTCATGCAGTTTTGTTGTATTGCCTGTGTTCCGATTCCTCTCACATGAGCGTTAGCAATGGTACTTAATATGGACATGTCATAGATAAAACGTAACATAGGAAAGAAATGTAGATTAGACTTGACTTTTCAATGACTTCCCTTGCTTTGTTCACAGTTTTGTTCCTGGTTCCTATGGCTGCATGTGGTTTTTAGGTAAAGCTGGAAAATTTAAAAAAACATATAAATACATTGGTGAATATACATTGGTGTGTTTGCCCCAGTGTTTACTTAACCAATATTTCAAGCAGTGTTACAGTAATGGAAACATTCTTCCTCTTGTATTTTTTTTCTAATCAGAAAACATGCCTTCTGGTTACTGACTATACTTGAGGTACTGATTCCCAAATTGTGGGTCTAAAACTTTTTGATAATAAAGCACTGTAAACTGTACAGTACACTATGTGTTTTACTGTACAATTAATAACTGTTTTACACTTGCTTCTTAGCTGCAAAAGCAAAAATAAGGCAGTAGGTTCCATTAAGATAGTTGTGGCCCACAATATTATGTATGTTAGAGGCTTAATCAGTGACTGTAGCCATGTCTTTTGGGCACAAGAATTTGGCTTGTCAGCAATTTTCAGTGCTCTAGGAGTATCTGAGTTGTTTGGCTGGCTTATTAGTGATCTTGGAAAGCGCTGAAGCTATCCCTTCTGGGGTGCTGCTGGGGGACTGTTTTTTTGCTTTTGCTGACACTAGCTTGTCTTGATTCTTTGCTATAAATGTGAACTGATATTTTATACATTCAGCAAACAAGAACCCGGTTGGTGTGGAAGAGGCATTTATTATGTAAATACTGATAATATGGTTGGGTGAGTAAAAGGTAAACCACATCCATGCAGTTTTGGAGACATTGCTATTGAAGTAGTTTATCATTGCCTTTTTCTGAGATGTCTTTTGGCTTGATGTCTACCCCCAGAGCCCTGAAATATTCTGATGGTCTCCCACATGATCCCAGACCAGGGGTAGGCAACCTTGGCTCTTTTATGACCCATGGTCTTCAATTCCCAGAATTCCTGAACCAGCATGGCTCAGCTTAGAAACCTCTCCCTTTCCCCTCAGCACGGCTGGCTCAGGAATTCTGGGAGTTGAAGTCCACAAGTCATAAAAGAGCCAAGGTTGCCTATCCCTGGCCCAGGTGCTGCCATGTGTTGAGGCACATGAGTGAGAGATAAACATAAAAATCCTTATCCATAGTGGCTTCTCTATGGTTGAGATACCTCTGGCCGTTTTTTTCTTCCTTAAGAAGCATTTTTTTGAGGGGTGTGAGGAGCAATTATTGAGGCTTCTGAACTGTTCCAGAGGAGTAATTAAAAGAGGTAAAGGTAATTTACAACATCAGCTACAATGGTTTGAGGGAACTATCAGAGAAAGTAACTATTCTTGTCCATAGTTGCAGGTTGAATATTGAGAACAAAATGGAAGTATTTGATTTCCTCTGTTTAGGAAACTTGGCGGGTAGTTTTGGTTTACTCAAGGCAGCCACAGTGAGTGACAAAATTTCTCTATATGTGATTGTGCGTGACTCAGATCTCTTGTGAATTCTGTTTTGAAACTGTAAGTAGTGGTTTCAGTAATGTTTGATAAATGAAAGTTAATACAGATTAGTTTGTATTCAAGTAATGTAAAACTGCTAGCAAACGTCGGTGTTATCTCAGAGAAGCTTTATTTCTTGTGAATATTGATATTAAAATTTCAATTCCCTCCATCCAAAACTTATGTGATACATGCAAAAAGCATGAATGAGGAAGCATCTTCTCATAATTTTAAAACTTCTTTAAATTTTCCACTTTTGGAAGAATTTCTGAAATAATAAACAATAAGTTATTAGCAGCACATTTTCTAAATAATGAATTATCTGGAAATTTAGAACAATGCAACATGAATTCAGTAGGGGATTTCATAAGAATGGGAATGATTTTTATCTGCATTCTAAAAAAGTGCTCTATCTTAGGGTTTTTTTTAGTCCTAATGTCTTGTTGGTGAAATGGCAATGTGAGAGGAGGCAACTGGACAGGGAAATAATAATAATAATAATCATCATCATCATCAAACATCCACATCTGCCTATCCCAGGTCCTGGGTAAGGACTCGATAGGTAGACAAAATGTCAAATCCAGTCTGAACATCTGGCTGACTGTGCGATGATCCATAATAATAATAATAATGTTGGAAGGGACGTTGGAGGCCATCGAGTCCAACCCCCTGCTCAGGCAGGAACCCTACAACATTTCAGACAAATGGTTGTCCAGTCTCTTCTTAAAAACTTCCAGTGTTGGAGCATTCACCGCTTCTGGAGGCAGGTTGTTCCACTGGTTAATTGTTCTAACTGTCAGGAAGTTTCTCCTTAGTTCTAGGTTGCTTCTCTCTTTGGTTAGTTTCCACCCATTGCTTCTTGTCCTGCCTTCAGGCGCTTTGGAGAATAGCTTGACTCACTCTTCTTTGTGGCAGCCCCTGAGATATTGGAACACTGCTATCATGTCCCCACTCGTCCTTCTCTTCGTTAAACTAGACATACCCAATTCCAGCAACCGTCAGAATCCCACCCAGATGAATTTGTGTTTTTCCCTACTTTATGTTCCTACCACTTTCTTCTATTAACATGCATGGGAAAAGCTAGTCAAAAGAAGACAGGTTATCAGAACCACAATAATAGATTGTTCAGTAATGACTATTCAATTATAGTATAACCCGGAGACAGGTAATTCTCTAAGGTTCTGCATGTTTCCCATTATTCCCTTGTCTATCCTTTCCTTCCATCCTCTAGTCTTGCTGTTCTGTTTTCAAGATAAAGAAATGCTTCAGGCAGAATGGATTTTGAATACTTCTTTCTTCCAACTATGGGAATATACTGTTGCTTTGAACCCTATGAAGAGAAGTCTACAAGGGTAATTCCTTGGCAACTCTCTTAGACTGCAGTTTTCTTGCTAGGCTGTACTCTAGTATAAGGCGTGCACTGTGAGCAAGGCTGCTAATATGCTGAGTCAGCATGACTGGCTCAGCACAGCCATGCAGGATCCTCGCTGCCAGGCTATTTTTAAATGTGGTTTCATCCTACTCCAGCTCCTCCCAAACTTCCAAATCTTCCTTTTCATGAGCATTTGCTGTTAAGATTTATAAAAAGCTGTGGGGTTGGCAGAGACTAGGCAGAATTTGTCAAGAGCTCATGTAAATCCCACAGTTGGTTCATGCTGTATAGAGAATACCTGTATTTGGTGCTTACTTTCCTGCCTAGTCTGAGTATATATATAGCTGTTTTTGAATGATGTAGAACTTGACTTTGATAAAATCTATCCATTTTCTATCCTACAGAATCTGATTGTGAAGGCTTGCGTGTTATGACGACCCCCAACAAAGGAAACAAAGCCTTGAAGGTAATAAGGCAAGACTTGGGGTTAGCTGGGCATGCAGGCAAACAGAATTCCACTAAAACATGTTTCTATTTTCTCTGCAGGTGAAGCGGGAGCCAGGGGAGAATGGGACCAGCTTGACAGATGAAGAGCTGGTGACCATGTCTGTACGGGAGTTGAACCAGCATCTGCGGGGCTTATCTAAGGAAGAGATAATCCAACTCAAGCAACGCCGGCGGACCCTGAAGAACAGAGGCTATGCTGCCAGCTGCCGGGTCAAGAGGGTAACACAGAAGGAAGAGTTGGAGAAACAGAAGGCAGAACTTCAGCAGGAAGTGGAGAAGCTGGCTTCAGAGAATGCCAGCATGAAAATGGAACTTGATGCCCTCCGTTCCAAGTACGAGGCACTGCAGAACTTCGCCCGGACCGTTGCCCGGAGCCCTGTCACCCCTGCCCGGGGCCCACTTGCTTCCAGCATCGGGCCCCTTGTTCCTGGCAAAGTTGCCACCACCAGCGTTATCACAATAGTTAAATCCAAAACGGACGCCCGGTCTTAGTGAAACGAGCACTGCCTGGGCTTGTCTGTGCAGGGCAGTTAGGCACAAAGCTCATCCGGAATCCCCAAAGCACAACCCTCTCCCAGATGGCCTAGCCCACACAGGCACACACTGGCCTGCTTGTCACTGCAGTTGCTTTGTTTTTAGCTTGTTCTGGTTGGTGTGACTGACGGTAATGCAACCTTTCCATTGTGAACAGAACCGTCCATCTAGTGTGTTCTGAAAATGGAAGCTGAAGGACCTCAGTACTCTTGCCAAAGAGATTTTCAGCAGCATGGAATTCATTCTTGAGGAGGAATAACTCAAAGGGGAGGGAAGAGGTCATAGAGAGTTAGAAGACCTACTGTCAGTGATGACTTCAATACCGTTCTTCCAGGGTTGAGTCAGCTGTCCAGTCTGCTGCTTGTAAATTGCTTGGTATCGGGGATAGTTTGTGTAACCATTTTTATATTACCATCTAGTTGCACCTTTTAGGTTTGAAGATGGGATCCCTTAGGACTTTTCCTGAAGGAGAGGAAAGTGGGGAAACAGCTATTTCCTGGTGTCTGTGCTGCAGAGGAAGGAAGGTAGCCAGGAATGAGCACTGTTGTATCTACCTACCAGACAAAGTGGGTTACATTGCAGTGACCACAGGCCAGTTTTGTGCCTAATGTGTTGCACTGAACAAGACCAAAATCACTAGTTGTTTTCTGTGTTTGGAGAGTATCCAGTGTCTCTAGTGTGATGGTTTACACAACTAGTTTATGTAGTTTAAATAGCCCTTTATTTAAAAGAGAAGCATTCATTTTAAAGAGTTATTAAATGATCTAAGTTTCAAATCTACAATTTGGTGAAGCACTTCTATTTAAAAGTCTCCTTTTAGCCTGAGAAGGTGAGAATATTTGATTGTCATATTCTTGGAGACACAAATGCAAAATTTAGAAGTTTCTCGTCAAGTCTTGTGGCTCTGAGGTTGGTTTTATAAAGAGTTATTAGACTTTTATTTATAAATAACATAGGAAAAAAAAACAAAAAAAGAGGCTAGTCCTGTTTGATATCTTTTTGCAATTGTACCAAAAGTGACTTATTCTTGAATTCCCCATCTGCTTCTTTTGTACTCCTGTTGTATTTAGTTGTCTGTGCTCTGAGGTCTTTTGTGGCGCTGTGATGTGATGGTGCCAGTGGCCACTTTGCTATGTGGATGTCCTGTGAGCATTCGTTCGGCTTTCCCAGGGCTGAGTGCAGGTTTTCTGGGGCATTTGCCAGTAGACTTTCTCCAAGATTCTGTCTCATGAGAAAATTACCTGAATCTGAAGCCTGAGAAGAATGAGTTCTTTTAAGATGTTAACAAAACTGCTTAAGGATAGCTGGCAGACAGTGTTGCATTATATCATGTCACTTGTATCACAATTGCCAAAATTTGGGGGGTTTTGGCTGGGTGTTCCTGAAGGTTGAATCCAGAGTTGCAATGGTAATGGGATAGAAGGGATCACTCCTGTTAATGTAGGAATATGAAACAATTTACAGCATATCGTACAAAGGGTCCACAAAATATATTTTCTAGGGCTGGATTCTATGTAGCATTTGTGAAGATCCACTATTGCAGCAGGATTCCTTTGCTGGTAATATTACAGAGGCTTTTTTTAATCTCTCGCCTGTTTCCTCCTATGTTTTAGCATGTTGAGCATTACATAGGGATCTAAGCCAGAAACTCAATAAGGTCTAAAGAGCATGTGATAGTCAACATGACTCAGGGAAGTCCAAATTGTTTTATCTTCTGGATACATAATCGTATGGGAAGCCTAGTCTAGTTTCACTGACAGAGCCAGTCACTACAAAAAAAGAAAGTTGATTTACCTTCTCTGTTGCTTGCCTTGCAATTAGCCTACAGGGAAGGAGTGATGGGTGCATTACCAAGAGGAACATGTGAGTTTGTATCTTTGTATCTAGGTGGGCACTTGATCTTTTGCCCAGAAAATTGGCCATCAGAATGAGCACATGACTAACAACTGGTAAGCCCTGAGTACTGGCATATTCAAAACACTTGAGATCACCATATTTGGCCATTTTCTAGTTAACATATACTAGAACCTGTTTTAATGACACAGCTAGTAAATTCTGGAAATTTCCACAGCTAAGACTGGGCTCAAAAACCTCTTGCATCTTTTCAAAAACTTCCAGCTACATTCTAGGCCTCGTGATTAAAATAAAAAGCTTTAATAACTTTTAAAGCAGGGCTAATAAATTCAGATGAGTTCTAAGGCAAGTTTGTATCCAGAAACAACTATCCACAACAATCAGGTGAGAATCCATTCTCTGAAAACGATCTTCCTGATATCTGTTAACTGGCAAGGTTTTGATCCCTAGAGCGGGGGTGTCAAACTGCTGGCCCATGGGCCGGACACATCATCTGGAAGCCACGCCCACCCCATTGCCAGCAATGGCAAAACCTTCCCGATACGTTGAGCAACGTCACATGACATCACGAGTTTGACATGTCTGGCCTAGAGTATGCTGAAGGAGAAAAAGGCTTTTAATGAGGACTAGCCTTCAAAATATCTTCATCATATCTGCTGGAGCTCCTTTTTTTCTCACTATAGGACCACTGTCCTCTGCAGATGATTCACCTGAAATGGAGGGAATGGCACTAGTTCTTTACTCTCAGCTGCCCTTTTGACATAGTGGATTGGAGGTCTTTTTAACTGTTGTTTTTTGTGCTAGTCTTGGCATATATGAATGACAGAATATGGCTGAGAGATGCACAGGCACTAAGAACAGCAAACTGCAGAGAAACAGAAAAATAAGTTGCTTTAATGTGACTATTCACTTGCCCTGGGTCCAGATTCTACCCGAAATCACCATTGCCACATTAGTTACTACTCTTTATTTTAGATTTAGAAGGAGTAGCTCACAGGTTGCTGCATACACTAGCAGTTATTACTAAGCCTTGCCTTACTAAGGCGTTTAGGTTTCTGATCTTAAAAGCTATACAGAGTGACATAAATTGCTCTGAGCTGGGTTGAGGTTAGCAAAATTTGATAATTCCCCTTGGGATATGTTTTATCACTGCTGATTTGAAAGACTTAGAAAGCAATGCAGATCTATGCGGAATTACTAGAGCCAGAAATGTCCTATGTTTACTTGTTCCATATCACTCTACCTCCTTGCATCTTTCTCTCCACCCTTAAGCTGTAGATATTTTTTTCCCTTCATTGCCTTCCACTTTCTAGTCCTTGCCAAAGAAATCCAAATTCTGTGAAAACCAAACAGTTGTAACCGAAATAAGCAATATTTATGCTTTGATGTCAAACATGCAAATAAAAATAATATGTAATTGGGATTTTCTGACCATCAAATATATAAACAAGAGATGGGTTCTGGATTGAACTTTTAGGTCTCCTGGTCATAGCTTCCTTTGAGAGTTCCATGAAAGGCATTTATGTCATCTGGATGGATGGTTGAGGAAACAACTCTTCTATCTGAGCTGCCTGCTGTTTTAACTCAAGAATTTGCCTCTCCATTGTTTGGCATGCTTCTCTGTGCCATATTTGCAGTTTGCCCCAAGGAAAGCAAGGTGAAGACATTGGTGATAGTTCCGTACTGTTAAAATGCAGTTCTGTATTGGGCTGCATTTCTGAAATAGGAATTTGTTTTCAGCCAGATGAATAGTTTTGGATCTCTTCAATTCCATGACCATATCATCCTACACATTTCTTGATTGGCAGTCTTTACTCCTTAGAATTGGCTAAATAAATTTCTTTTGGTGCTTCCTCTTCCTGAATTGCTTGTTTTATGATCGAGATCTTGGATCCCATCAGAAGCCTCTGATAAAGTCTGTCCTCTAGGATTTTGCAAGGGTGGCTAGGTCAGTTTTTGTAGCAAAACTAGTAGTGTCCTGGGCACTTTAAAGACTATTACATCATCTTTCATGGATTAGAAGTTACTTCATCATATCCATGAGATGATATTAAATTGGCTCTGATATATGTGTATAAATACAACTACTCAGACACATTTTAAATATAAAAAGAACAGACATAATTTTATTGAAGCTTATACATGCACACATACATTAATACTATAGTTTCCATTTTCTGCAAAGTTGGTTACAAACATTACAAGGGAATCTATATTATTTGCATTAGTCTGTGGTCACTAAAAATGTTAAAATATATTTGAGCTGTAATATTGCAATCTGTATTTCTTGCAATTAGATTTTGTCTATTCTTCCTACAGTAACAGTTTCCTCCATAAGCAACCTTATGCAGTATTAATTGGTTAATTTGGAATAATACTTCATCCATTGAAGTTGATTTGTCCACATAAATCTATGCCATAATGTTTGCTTGTCTTTAAGGTGCCATAAGACTCAATCTTTCCTCTAAAGACGCCTTTCATCCTTTTCAAGGCTAGATAAGTGAAATGGTATCTTCATCTGAGTGCATTGCAAGACATTCTTATAAGCAAATGAATATTTATTGAGCACATCTTGCTCCAGAACTCAGTAGTACATCTTCCAACTGGAGGTGGGGGAGAAGACAAGTAACCCTTCATACCTCCCAGCTTCCTTCACTCTCAGTCTGTCTCCTAGTGTTCATGAGTGTGTTTTTTTTCTGTCCTAGATTCCCCTCTCAAGCCCTTGCCCCTCAATTTTTTTCTGGTACATGGCATCCAGAGTGTGATGGTTCTTGTTTTATAGGTGACTGTTTGGTTTTCCTGCTGTGAAGGGTGGTTTGGTTTTGTTGTTTTTAATGGGGCATTTTGCTTGATGCAACAGGTGGGGAAGCGTTGCTTTCTATCTGGATGCAGAACAGCTCCATGAAGTATAATTCCGCCCTCATGTTTCTGGCTTTGGGTGGGTGGGAAAGGTAGGGTTGTTTATGTCGTGGTGAATTATGTAAAAGTGATATTTTGGATAATGAAACAATTTTTTTCTTTCCAGAAAAATGCAAGAAAAACTGCAGGCTAAGAGTTGAGGAATGTGATGGTCAGCAATGGGTAGAGGCTATTCAGATGTTAGGTCCTGATGCAGGAGCAGGAGGGAATGTACTACTGTGCATAGAAGACATTAAACATTTGTCATTGGTTTTTGCATCTGCTGTACACTGACACATCCCAAAAAAGTAGGATAGCACTTCACTATAATCTAGCAGTAAGCAGAGCTGGCATATCTGTATATTAGTTTCACTCGGACTGGTAGTGTGTTCCATTGGTAACCCTTGTCTTCTGTGCCAGTGAAGATAGAAGCACTTTTTGACAACTTGCCTTTCACCTCTTTCTGATATCTCAAACTGTATTTTGTTAATTAACGTGCAGGAATTTTCCTTTCTGGTTTAATAGCACTGCTGCTGTTTCCCGTAATATAACAGTGAATAACTGTGACTGCTTATGCAGAGGATTGCTCCTCCCTATGCAGAAAGGATCACACAGTGGTCTAGCTGTGAGTTTCAGGCAGGTTCTTCCAAGTGGTGAGAACTTACTTTCCCTTCCGGATCTGATATACAGTATACGTGAGCTCTAGATATTTGCAGCTGACACTTGCACCAACGAGAGGCACTGCACAGTTGAGTGAGGAGTCTCCTGATTCCCAATAAAGATATGTCACTATCTGGCTATGCAAAGATGTTTGGGATTCCCATGCAGTTTCAAGTGCTACTTGCCCTTGTCCTCACCTGCAGTTTGCTCTGAATTTATTACATCCTTTGTCAAACTGGAATATTATGGAGAAACAAATTATATATTTGGTGTACTTAATGAACTGAACTGATGACTGCTCCTCCCCACCCTCCAAATGTTGAAGATAGTCCTTAAAAATATGAATTGAAATGATTTCACTATTGCTTTAAAATATTTGTTTAAATGGTCGGGGAGGAACATTTTGATAATAAGAAATTCAGTCTCCAAAGCTGATACAACCGGAGATGAATTCTATATGTTAGGGGTGTAAAAACATACTGTCATGTCCTGGGTCTCTCCTGTACAACAGTCGAACCCAAGTAATTAATCAGTATTTATTGCTAAATTATTCTCCTTTTTCAATCTGTAGATAACTGTTGGGGATTTGTTGCCACAGCCCCAGTGGAGGTGTTGTTAATTTATTTATGTATATAGTGTATGTTTGTTGATATGAAGCATTCTTTATTTTGTATATGACCAATAAACATCTTTAAAGAGGCTGGCCCCTATGATATCACTGAGCAGGTTCAGGTTGCTAAACTTGTTCTCTGTTGCTGACAGGAACTTTTTAAGATTTAACTGTTTGCATGCATTGTGTACATAATCTGCTCCCTGCTGCTTGAAAAATCAAGTTAGTTGGATTTAGAAATTTCCCAGGAATCCTTTCCAGCTCAAAACATTGGTGTGATTGCTTTATTATAAACTGTCCAGATTATTTCCCTCAGGGTTGTATTTCAATTAGACATCTTCTTCCTCCAAGAATGAATAAGTCATATTCAATATTTCATGATGGATAAATATAACAGAAAACCACATATTGCTTTCTATTGAAATCAGGTTACTGTCCTTTGCATAAATCTCCCTGTCTTTGGATTATTTCTGTACTTTAAAAAATTTTAAAGCTTGAAATTATGCATTTAAATATGCAAATCTCTGGGCTTATGCTCTTTAACTAGGACTGACATATCTGGGCTGTAATAATCCAAATGACCGCTAGGGACCGCCAGATGTTTTCCTTGTTACCTTCTGGAAAGAGGCTCTGTGGTATCCGAAGCAGGACATCCAGATTCAGTCAGTTTTTGTTTCATACAGTATTAAACTTGTGAACTCTCAACTTCCACTTTCTGCTATGTATTAAGATGGACAGTGATTAATATTTATATGTAAGGTGTAGGTATATACGTATGTTTTATATAGCATGTTTATATGTATGTGTACACTTGAGAGCAGGCAACATAATTTCATTTTTAATGTGTGCCAATGTGCCCACAGTAAAAAAATGACAATAAAGGTTATCATCGTCAACTGCCAATAAACAACAAAGAGGTAGCTATTTGCTGCCATCTAACGATTATCTAGTTGTCTGCAACCCAAATAAGGTAGCCAGGTTAGATTTTATGTAGCATATTTTTAAAATATTAAGTTATATTAAAACAACACTATTATTCAGGTTATTGTGGTATGTTTTGGAGTTGGACTAATACATACTGTATAGGATTTAAGAATAAAGTGAACTTGTATTTATCGATAATAGCATAAATTATAGGTAGTGACCTAATTTTTCTTAATTATGTATTTCTTAGCAGTGCCTTTATCTAACATTGTTGATGGTTCTCAACAGTGCTTTTAAAAAAAAAAAAAAAAAAAAGTGCCGAACTCACACACATCAGACAACCCGCCTTGCCTACCCTACAAGGTTCCATCCAAAAAAGGTGCCGGCGTACTATGAGAAAAAAAGCCCAGGTTCTCAACATTATTTATGTTCCTGTTTGAAAGAAACCTGTAATTACAAGAACAAACTACTAATACAAGAAAATGTTTCTGCTGAAATTTCAGTTTTTTCTTTCAGCACTCAATTAGGCAAGGTCTAGTTTAGTCTATTTGTCTAGTGTGGCAAATAGCACTGTTCCATTTTATATCAAAATGCATAATAAGGGCATCTGAAGCAATATAAAAACAAAGTTATAAGAACCATTGAACATTTCTGGTAGTAAGAATGCAACATTTTTGTTCTCTACAGATCAGAAATATTTAGCCAAGTATGAAGAAAGAAAAAGGAATTTGGATATTATCTGGATCTATGTAGTATGGGAAGGACATACCTCTAACAAGAGAGGAAGAACAACTAGTAGTCAGCATTTAAAAATGGATGCATTTACATGACATTTAGGCATGGTTCACTCAACCTAATTTGCTGGATTCACATGACATTGAACACAATTAACCCAAACCAACACCGTAAAGCTAAAGTGCTGAGATAAAGCTAAAATGCAGTTGACTAACTTGTGGTTCAGTAAATTGTGCAAACATGACCACTGGCAAGCTTACTTCAAAAAATGCACTTTTTTGCCTAATACAGCCAATGGAAGGTTAACTTGTTGCTGCAAGAGCTTTTAAGCTTTCATGTAACAAATCCAAGAGAATGACAATATGCAGCAATAAAAAGCAAAATCTCCAGGTCCTTTAAACATTAAATTACAAGCTTTTGCACACTAATTCACAACACCGAAAATGGAGTGGTTGATGAAAGCTTATGCGGAAATTAAGAGGCCCGAGAGTAGTTTTAAACTTTCCCCTAATATGAGGCTTTTTTCCTCACTGTGCCAAATTTTCCTTTGGTATTTTTAATACATTAAATAAGATGATATGGTTGACTTTGGCCGTTGGGTTTTGAAAGGAAAAACAAATCTTCCACTTTTTCTGACTCAAGACCAGCAAAATGTTTAATCCGCATTCTCCAATAGTTAACGCTGCGAGCAATCTGTTTCCCGTTATATTCCTATGTAACGTTCAGCAGCAGTAGACAATAGTTTCTGATTACGGGAATAGGCTAACCAAGATAAGTATCGTTACAGAAGACCCTGAGCGTGAAAGGACTGGATTGCCCATAATGGAATTTGGTTTGATACGGAAAAACAGCGCTGGAATTCACGCAATAGCATTTCACGTGCGGCCACCACATTCCAGCTCAGGGGGTCTCGGAGAAAGGGGGACCGGAGCAGCGCAATTATCCTACGGTACACACCAGCATGGTTTTTAAACCCCCAATCCGAAAGAGAGCGCACTTTCCCAAATGAGGAAGGAGCAGGAATTCGACCCTAATTCTCTATGGACGTAATAGAAACGGCAGGTTTGCCTACAATGGAAGACAAGGCCAACCGGAAGTAGCAGAACTGTGTCCTAAGTTTCTATCTTGGAACGAAGAGCCTGGCAACAGCAGCGAACATCATTTGCGTCCCCAGGGCAACAAGCAGTTGCCGCCGAGCGCCGTCCGTTGCGAGGGCCGGAAACGGAAGTAGTCGAACCCTCCGCTTCAGCTGATAGGAACCCGGAAATTGGTCAGGGGATGGCGGCCGGTCGAAGTTTAAGTCGCTCGGAGCGGAAAGCGGCGGCTCGCGCTGAATTCCTCCGTCAAGAAGAGCAGCGAGAGCGACGGAGGCAGGTACTGCGGGGTTGCCGGAAATCAAGGCGGGCGGTGCTTCTCGAGGCGCCGGCTTGGCAACACGCCCTCCCCTTTTCTTTCGCTCTTTTCCTCGTTCGACACAGGTGTCCCGAATCCTACGCAAACCAGCGGCTGACCGGAGCGCCGACGAGGCGATGCTTCTGTCTGGATGTCAAGAGATGGTGCGGGATCTGGAGCGACTTCGCAAGAAGCGTGAGAGGCTGCGGCGCCGGCTAGAGGAGGTGGGTACGTTTTTAGCTGTGCTGTCAGTGCCCTGATCGACGTGAGGGCTTGTTCTCGCTTGCCCCACGGCTCAAGCAAGCTCTAGCGTGTTTTTTCCCCTGCCTATGATATTTTCTAAATATCCTCAGTTGACAAGTTTGATAGTGACCTTAACTAGACAGGAGTTAAATTGTTTTGCCAGGTGTGTAAAATTAGCTATGCTTTTTTATCATCTATTTAGGATGAAAAAAAGTTAGGTGTTTGGCAATGACTGGAAATATATGCCCAATTGATTATATGCCCTCAAGTAGTTGTCAACTCTTAGTGACCACATAGATAGATTTTCTCCAGGAGGATCTGATCCCTGTGTGGTGCTTCAGGTTGTCCAACGGTTCACCCATCACCGCTGTAACTGAATACATCTGACTTGTGGCTGGTTAACATCTCCATTTCCTCTCCCCCCTTTCTCAGCATTATAGGATTCTGTAGAAAAGTAGATCTTTGCATAATGTGTTCAAAGTATGATAATTTCAGCCTGGCCATCTGTGCCTCAAATTAAAATGCTGGATTGAGTTGCTTGATGATCCATTTGTTTGTTTGTTTTAGCTGTCCACAGTATTCTCAGAAATCTTTTCCAATGTCAAAGTTCAAAGGTGTCAAATTTGACTTTGAAGAAACAGAATTTCCATTCTGTTCCTTCAAAGTCACATTTCCACTTCATACAGTGTCATGAAGAAAACTATTTCCTGCACAATTCTGGTCTCTAGATGCAGGATAGGGATTGGCAATGGGGACAGTAAATTTCATGCAAGCTTAATTTTTCACTAAAGAATAAATGACCCCCGGGTCATCCTTTCATAGATATTTCCTTGCCAGATTCTTCAATGCTTCCAACAGTGAGAATATTTACAGCTCAAGGTTAAACTGTGGAGTCCTTGGGGCTGTCTGAGCTTGGTGGTTTTCTTGCAGATTTTCATTACTAAGCTAGCTAACATCAGGGCTAATCAGTGCATTAGTGCTTGCATTGATGATATTACTCAGTTTGGTAATGAAATGTCTGCAAGAAGACTACCGAGCTCAGAGAACACTAAGGACCCCATGCTTTCAGCAGTGACAGAGCTTCTAATGGCTTCTAATGTACAGAGAATACAATTTGTTCAATTTCCCTGAACAATTTTCCTAAGGTTTTGTTTAGCATTTAAAAGCTATTCATGAGATAAGTGCCAGCAAGGAAAACTATTGTAAATTAAAAAACAAACAAACAATGGAAGTTACTTCTATAGTTTCTTTCAGGAGAGATTTTCACTGAATTTCATTTCCAGTTGTGAACTGAAGGCCTTTTGTTTCTGGAAGGGCAGATCTGGATCTAACCCTCTGTAATTAAGCTGGTTGCCCTTCATAGGCTTTAAACAACCTAATTGTCTTTTGAACTGGCTTTGCTTGTTGAGAATTTTGTGGTTTTCCTTGCTGACAGACAAAACTAGATACGATTTCTGCCAAATTTACAGAAAAGGAACCAGTTAGTTTATCTGTATCTCTTTTTTGGAAATTAATCTTTTTTCTTCTACTTTGAAGAAGAAATATAACAGTTAAAGGCAGAGATAACAGAGATAAATATACTGTATTAATGAAAAGTTCCTGCATGTTTCATTGAGGCACCAAGTAGATTTATAAGTACATGGTAGGAGAACCAGTGCTTACTCCGAATAGTATGTAATTTCTAATTTGGCTTCTTGATATTGTAAAATTCAGTCTCTGCTTGAAAGAACATAAATTATGTTAAAAAGCTTTCCAAATAAATTAGTTATGGTAATGGGATGCTTAGGGGACCTCGAGGAAAGAGGACACGAGATCCTGCCTAGGAAACAATGAGGCGAGAGGGGCAGGAGCCCTCAGTCATTTAATAATTGTAGAAGAAAACTAAGGAAGGATTCATCCTAATGGAACAAGCAGTTAAAAGTGGAGGGCAGGAAGTTTCTGCTTTTTGACTTGCAAGATTGTTGCTGGCCTCCCCTGATGAATCAGGTACGAAACACAACTAGATGAGCTAAGTCTGTTTTATTGTAAAGGGTACAATTATAGGATGTACAAAAGCAAGGAAAGAAATGTGTGGATTTTATCATTTTGGAAAATATGGGATTTTTATTCTTTTTTTTTAGGTGTGTGATGAGCCTGACGAATTGAAGAGGAAAATCAGTAAGCTATCTGCTGTTGTCCGAGGAGCTAAACATCTTATTGTATATACCGGAGCTGGCATAAGTACGGTAAGGTTGTATCAGTTTTCCTTCTAAAGTCATCAGCAACAAAGGATTCTTATAACTGAATTACCTACCTTGCTTATCATGTGAGAGCAGCATTGTTTTGAGGTTTGAAAATTCTTAAGGCTCCCAAGTCATGCAACATAAGTTGAAACAATTCAACAACTTCTGTAAAAACACAATTTGAGAGCATTTTGGCATATTAAATTTTGACTTTTATGTTGTATATTGACACTTGCACTGTGAAAGTCTGGAAAAATGGAAAAAAAATCAGAAAAACTTTTCATTTTTCTTCCCAATCTCTTTGGAAAAAAATGCTACGTTTTCTGCAACATCTTTCCTAAAAAAGCTCAGAAAGATTAGATTGTGTTATGAATCTAAGAAAAGTGGGTGTAAATTGTACTCCTGATAGGTAGCATTCCAAAGCAGTGCATTGTAAACTGTTTAGTATCTTTAAAGACTGGTACAAACAAGCAGGATTCTGTATACCAATCTTCTTCATCTAAATTGTCAGTAAAAAGCTGTATGCTGAGCTGCTCATATCTCAAGGAGCCAACTTCTGTTTAGAATGCAAAATGTATCTCTCGAAGTAGTCCTCTGTGAGAAAGAATGCTGGAGAGGTGTAAAATATATAAAGACTTCACACTTTTTGTGCTTTGGGGAAGAAAAGAACTGTGACAAATAGCTAAATACTCTTTGAAAATGGAATTGAGTTTCCTGGCTGGCTGATAAATTTCTTATCCTAGTGTTTTACTTAACTATTTTATATATAAAAAAAATGGGATGTGGAAGAGAAAGATAAACTATACTCTTACCAAGTAAAACTTGCTTTGAGTCAAGCTCATTGTGATGGCCATATCAATACAGTCTCCTTGGCAACAGTATCAAAGTGTTTTGCCAAAACTGGCACAACACAACAGTGCCTGAACCTGCTGGGCTAAAGCAGCATGTTATATAGCTATTACTTTGGAATAAACTGGAAATTGTTTTGTTCAGGGTAAACATTTAAGGCAGGCATGTTAAACTGCTGGCCAATGGGCCGGATGCGTCATGCCGAAACCGCCCCCACCCCATTGCCAGCAATGGGGAAAAGGTCACGATACGTCATGTGACATCGCGTGTTTGACATGCCTGATTTAAGGGATCGAGATTGAGCTGATGGATAGATACACTATGAATGGCTTTGATGTTTGGGTGATGGCAGCATGTTTGGTACAAAAAAGTAATTTAGGATTTTTATTTTATTAATCAAATTTGTAGAGCCACCTAAACTCACAAAAAGTGACTCTGGGGTGTTTACAACAATCCAGTAATTTCATGGCGTGGAAGTAATAGGTAGAGATGCTTATAAATACAGGCAAGGCCATGTATCCTGGCAATGAAACCAGCAGAGTTTCTTTTTCTTTGTGACTCCTTACAGGCAGCTTCAATTCCTGACTACCGAGGCCCAAATGGGGTGTGGACAATGCTGCAAAAAGGGAGAAGTATCAGGTAATCGGTTCAAAAGCATTTCTTATGTTACACTGGAATCCTGGGTGTCGCTTTTCACACTTCTTTTTTTCCCTCTGTATCAGGGCTACCGATCTGAGTGAAGCAGAGCCCACACTCACCCACATGAGTATTGCTTGTTTGCACAAGAACAAACTGGTAAGCTCTTTGATTTTCAGCCCTGCACTTCTGAGGCCATATTCTTACAGCGACTTTTAGGCTTGCTGCATGTTGTATCTACAGCATTTGTCATATTATTTCTAGATGCTTTTGTAAAAGAGAAGATACATAGAATATGTTGATACCACTGTCTAAATCAATATTTTTTAACTTGGACGATTTTAAAATATATGGACCAATACCCAGAATTCACCAGGTTGTAGTGCTTGCTGGGGAATTATAGAAGTTGATATCGGTACATCTTAAAGTCAGTGAGGTTGAGAAATATTGGTCTAAATCATAAATGTGCAAAGTGACATGCAGAGGGTCTGGCATTCCCAGCATTTTACACTGCTTTTCTTGTTTTCTTTCCCTGCTTCGTCCCTCTTCTGTTTCCACTGCTACATGCCTTCTCTTTCTTCTGTTTGCTTTCCTATTTTCTGATTCCAAATTTTAATTAGTTTATAGTATACGATACAAAGAAAATACAAAAGTAAATAGTGGGAAGGATAGGGAAGGGAAAAGGGAATAGAAAAGTAGGGGACGGGAAGGGGAAAAAAGAAAAAAAAAAGGCATTGACTTCCGACTTCCTTTGGTGTAGTAAAATAGAATATCAACATCAAACCTCAATTTTTGAACAATTTTGTATTTGTGTTTGTTAACATTACCCCCAAACATTTCACCTTTTTTTCAATCCTAAAAATCGCCATCCTATGAGGCCATATTCTTAATCAATGTTTATTTTAAAACCAGCCAAAAGACCCAGACTTATTTAATTTCCTCATCAAATGTTTTATATTATGGAAATATCACCAAATCATCAGCAAAGGGCCTCGATTTATAAACTTCCTTCTTAACATTTATACCTCTTATTTTCCCATCTTGTCTGATATCTCTGTTCAAAACTTCCAACACCAGGATAAACAGCAATGGAGACAACGGAAATCCTTGTCTTGTATGCTTTCGAATTTCACATGACTTAGTTAGATCACCATTAATAACAATTTTTGCTTGCTGTGATGTACTGTATAAACAGTTTTGACCCTTGAATAAAATTCCCACCAAAGTCCATTTCTTCCAGGATTTTAAACATAAAGACCCAATTTAAGTTGTCAAAGGCCTTTTCAGCATCTAAGAATATTAAAGCTACCTGTTCATTATGATATTGTAAATATTCAATAATATACAAAACAGTTCTTACATTATTTCTTAACTGTCTTTTTGGCAGAAAGCCAGCTTGATTGTCATGGATATATACCTGTAAAACTTTCTTTAATCTTTCTGCCAAAACTACAGCAAATAATTTATAATCCTCATTTAATAGTGAGATTGGTCTATAATTCTTTATCATCATAGCATCCTGACACAATATTAGCTTCTGTCCAAGTTGGGGTATCTTTCCCCCCGTAATACATCATTCATTCCATCCTTTAATGGCTGAAGAGGTTCATCTTCAAAACATTTATAATATTGACTTGTAAATCCGTCTGGGCCAGGGGCCTTGTCTGATTTCATTTTTCTTATAGCTTCTGATATTTCAAAGGTAGTTATTGGGACATTCATAAATTGTCTCTGAATTTTTGAGAGTTTCAGCAAGTTTTGTCTTAGCAAGTATTCATCTATCTAGCTCCTGCATCTTATACAAATTAGAATAAAAATTGTGAAAAGATTTTTTAATCTGTTCGTTATCAGTTATTACTTTCCTTTTGAATCTTATTGAATCTCCTGACAGAAAGTATGATTTTTCTTCATATTTTTCCTTGCATAGGAATCTCAGCACTCAAAGATTGAGTGCTTAGCTCAGAATCTCAGTGCCAAAGCAATTTCTGTTATCAGTGAAGTAAGCTACACTGTAGTTTTTCATATACTTCACACATACAATTTTAAAATGCTTTTTAAACTTGAATAGAAGTGAAGTGGAAACTTTCAAGATATGGAAGAGAAGTACATTAAACTTTGTAACCATAGAGTTTAAAACTTGGTAGCCTTATCCACTTTTGGAGGGCAGTCCATGGCCCAGCAGTACCTGCTTTCCTTGTAACGCATACTCTCTTTAAGACAGGGGCCTTCAAACTTGGCCCTTTTATGACTTGTGGACTTCAACTCCTAGAATTCCTCAGCCAGACACACTGGCTGAGGAATTCTGGGAGTGTAAGTGCGCAAGTCATAAAAGGGCCAAGTTTTAAGACCCCTGCTTTATCTATTTTCAGAAAATTAGTTTCTGGTCCTTGGAATTCTTCAGGAGGCAAAATTCTGCATCTCATATTCTCGCACTGGGAATCCAAATAACATAGTCATTAAATCTTCCATTTCTCTTGTCTCAGACCTGAAATAGGCTTAAGGCCCTGATGCTGAAACTTGATCAGGGAGGATTGATTTGCCAGCGGGCAACCATCTTTACCATTGTCTGTAAGCTATTTCTAATCTGGTAATTAGTGAGTTTAAAACAATTTTACCGTCTCCTGCCAATCAACAGAACACAAAGGCCATCCTTGACCTATGACCATTCAGCGATCATTTGCGATTATGATTGTACTGAATGAATGGAGGTTACAACCAGTTCTTGACTTCACAGTCATGATATCATGATCTGAGTGCTTGGCAACCCATTCACAATTACAACCGGTTGCCAACTTCCCTGTGATCACATAATCGCCATTTGCAGTCTTGCCTGCTGACTTCCCCCAGAAAATCAATGAGTTCTATATTTTGAAAATTAAGGTTGCAGGTCATTGGGGTAAATCTCCCCCATCGGGACATCCTTCCCCAGCCTCTCTGCACTTGTGCACCTCTCACACACCCTCAACCCATATGGTCCTCTCATGCACACATTTCTCCACTGTCCCTGACTCACTCTCTCACACATCCTTGTGCACCCTCCCTGTGCACACCCTCCTGCGTGCCTGTGCCTCCTCCTTCCTCCATCTAGTAGCAACCACTTACCTGCCTGTGGGTCTAGGATTTGCTAATTCCTGCTGGCTTCCCCATTGACTTGGGTCATGAGAAGCTGGCAGGACGTTGCCTTGCCTAATGACCATGGGATTCAGTTAATGATGACAACCAGGACTGCAAGGATTGCTGTCACTAAGTGATGTGGTCACAGTTTACAACTGTACCGCCTAGCAATGAACATTTCAGTCCTAATTGCTGTCATGTCAAGCACTACCGTAGTGAGAAAAAGAGTATAATTTTTTTTGTACATTATAAGAATGTTGTTACTGTATCTTGAATGTGATTGAGCAAGGACAAAGGGAAAGAGGAAAACATCTTCTCTTACTGTCTGTGATGCTATTTCCGTTTCACCCCATTTTTTTTCTCTTTTTAGGTGAAGCATGTTGTGTCTCAAAACTGTGATGGGCTTCACTTGCGCAGTGGACTTCCTCGAGAAGCCCTGTCTGAGCTGCATGGAAACATGTATATAGAGGTGAGTGCTTGGAGAGAGTGAGATTTGGTGCGTTGTCATAGAAGAAAAATGCTAATAAATTCTGTGATTCCATCCCAAACTAGGTTTGCACGTCTTGCACACCCAATCGTGAATATGTACGGATATTTGATGTGACAGAGCGCACAGCCTTGCATAGGCACCAGACTGGGAGATTATGCCATAAATGTGGAGCCCAGCTGAGAGATACAATTGTACACTTTGGAGAGAAGGGTATTTTACCGCAGCCCTTGAACTGGGAGGCAGCAACAGAAGCTGCTAGCAAAGCAGATGTGATCCTTTGCTTGGGGTCCAGCTTGAAGGTACAATTAAAGAAATACCTTCTTTGCACATTAGTGCAAAAGTGTTAATGGTTTAAGATGTATTCTTTTGTACTACGTATAGGAAGCTTTTGGAAAAATACTGAAAGTTAATGATGAACTAATTGAGATTTCAGTTTGTAGTTTTCAAAATTTAGCTTGCTAAAACCACATACATACTAGTAGTCCTCGACTTACGACCACAATTGAGCTCAAAATTTCTGTTGCTAAGCAAGGCAGTTAAGTGAGTTTTGCCCCATTTTACAACCGCTCTTGGCACAGTTGTTAAGTGAAACACTGCAGGCGTTAAGTTAGTAACATGGTTGTTAAGTGAATCTTCCCCATTGACTTTGCTTGTCAGAAAGTCACAAAAGGTGATCACATGATCCCAGGACACTGCAACCGTTGTAAATATGAACCAGCTGCCAAGCATCAGAATTTTGATCACGTGACCATGGAGATGCTGCAACGGTCGTCAGTGTGTGTAAAACGATTATAAGTTACTTTTTTTGTGCCGTTGTAACTTTGAACGGTCACTAAACAAACTGTTGTAAGTCAAGGACTACCTGTAGTTGCCTTCCTATTATCCCTTCAATATAATCTTGCAGATTCTTTTTAGTACAGTAGCAATCAGTTCATGTGCTAAGCTTTTTCCTTTTATCAGGGATGCATATTTCTGTAGATAATACTGAAAGTTAATGAATACAGATTTATGAAATAAGCTGGACTGGGGCAAGAAATGAAGCTCCTAAAATTATATCTGAAAAGGAAAAGATAGTATTTCCCTGATAATTAAAAAAAACAAACAGTAATTTAATTACAGGTAGTCCTCAACTTACAACAATTTGTTTAGTGATCATTCAGAGTTACAACAGAAAAGTGTAAAAAAGTGAATTAAGATGATTTTTCACACTTAATGACCTTTGCAGCATCCCCATGTTTATGTGATCAAAATTCAGATGCTTGGCAACTGGCTCATACCTATGACATATTGCCGTGTCCCGGGATCACCTGATCACCTTTTGCCACCTTCCCCACTTGGATTCAGTAGGGAAGCCAGATTCACTTAACAACTGTGTTACTAACTTAACAAATGCAGTGATTCCTTTGCCAAATGAGGCAAACTTTACTTAACTAAATGTCTCTCTCAGCAATAGAAATTTTGGACTCAATTGTGGTCGTAGGTCACAGGTCAGCAACCTGCGGCTCCGGAGCCGCATGCGGCTCTTTGAGCCTTCCCCTGTGGCTTCCAGCCTCCTCTGCCTTTGCAGAGAGAGACAGAGACAGAGAGAGGCAATTGCGCTTCCCTGCTTCCCTCTCTCTCTCTCTCTCTCTCTCTCTCTCTCTCTCTCTGTGTGTGTGTGTGTGTATAAAAGAGAGTGCACTCACAGTGTTCTCCGAGGAGCTGAAAAGCTTACTGGGCGGAGCTCCTCCCTTTGCTGCGTCTCTGCAGGAAGCAGGAAGGGCAGGAGAGAGCTAGCTAGCCCAGCTAGGCTGACTCAGTAATTCTGGGAGTTGAAGTCCATGAGTCATAAAAGAGACAAGGTTGCTTACCCCTGAGCTTGTTGGACAACAGCTTGAAGCTTGCCAGGTGAGCAGCAGATAGGAGGGGGGGGGAAAGAGAGAGAGAGAAAGAGAGAGGGAGGGAGAGAGAGAGAGAGAGAGAGAGAGAGAGAGAGTGGGGGAAGAGGAGTGGCAGACCAAGGGCAGATAGAGAGGGAAGGAGGGAGAGAGACAGAGAGAGAGAGACCCTTTTGACATCTAAAATGAAGATAACACTGCATATATCCTTTTTTTAATCTCTGTGTGTATGTAATTTTATTCTCTTAAAGCATTCTCTTGGTGATCATTGTTTTAATAGTATGGATATTCCCAAGAGTCATATTTTTACTTTTATTTTTAATGTGTGTGTGTGTGTGTGTGTGTGTGTGTGTGTGTGTGTGTGTGTACACACACATACATACATACATACACACACGCGCGCGCACACACACACACCTATAATAAAGGTAAAAAAGGATATATGCAGTGTTATCTTCATTTTAGATATCAAAAGGGTTTTGCGGCTCCCGGTGTTTTATTTTTGGTGGGAAACGGGTCCAAGTGGCTCTTTGAGTGTTTTGGGTTGCCTACCCCTGTCGTAGGTCAAAGACTACCTGTAGTTTCCAAGTAAAATAATGTGCTTTAATTGCAGTTTGTTATTTATTATTCCCGGAAATAAAATGTCATACCAGAGGTACTGCTAAAAAGAAATCAAGAAAAGGATTCTCAAATTGTTCCCTTGTAAGTGTTGAGAAAGTAGATTTGATTAAACCAGGTAGAAAAGGACAGGTTTGGGCTTTTTCTTGTATTAGTACAATACTATTCTGAGATCATTTGCTTCCTTTTTCACTAAGAAAGTAGCCAAGAGCATCAAGTCAATATGCTCTTTGTGAAACATTTTGAGCAGACTGTATAGTCCAGTACAAGACCAGAAACGGTTTAAGAATTGCCTACTCTTGTAGTTAAAATTCCTATTAAAGTAGGTATGGTCTACTTCAATAAATGCCCAATTGGACACTAATTTATTACTTTTTTCAAAGCTAAAGTGCATGTATAGAAACTTTTACACATAAGGTTTGATTTATAAATTATAGACTTTGAGAATATTTTCGTATTTAACAACATAAAAGCTATACTGAGCACCCTAAGATCACTTTCCTCCAACCCAATACTTTCCCAAGATAACTTTCTCAAAATACGTGGGGACAGAATTTTAATATATTAAATATGAATCCAAAGTTCTTCATAAGAATCTCAACAACTGGCACTTGCTAAATAAGACCACAAGGTAACTGTGATCTGCTCCTCTCAGTTTCTTTCTCACCTTTAAACATGATGCACCTTGGTATATCATATTTAAAGAGAAGAGTTCATGATACCTCGGGGAGCATTTTAGTTTTCCATTAACTGAGGCTGTAGTTCTACACATATTTTCCTACCAGTAATCTGTTAAACATTAGCGGATATCTTTTAAAATAAACTTATATAGACTTACATTGTTAGCTATAGTTGTAATGGTAGGAACTGGAATTAGTAAGAACATTTCTTCTGACTTTAAAATATTCCCCTTGAATCTGAGATAATAACATTTGGGTTCTAGCATAAGATTATATGTTGTGCATCTGTTCTTGGAATATTGCACCTGTGCATGCTACTTAGTCCAGAAGTAATTTTTTCAAAAAAAAAAAAAAAGTCCTGTAAATGTCTTGGTAACCCTGAATCCCAGAATAATAGATTCATTAGCAGATGATTGTTCTTATTGCCCCACTTTCCTTTTGCTTTCTGAGAAATCTGCAAATATGCATTGGAGGAAGTCTCCATATATAAATTTAGATATATCGTGGTGTCATATATCTGAAAACCAGGAGGTACATTCACCTTTTAGCACTAACATATGCTGTATTATTGCCCTTTTCCCAACAGGTTTTGAAAAAGTATCCACATTTATGGTGCATGAGTAAACCACCCAGACATCGCCCTAAACTCTATATCGTAAATCTCCAGGTGAGTTGAGTTTTATCATTTTTGGGTAGACCATAATATACAGATGCGTATGCTTACATCATTTGCTTTTATATACTTTTGAAAGGACCAATATATGCAGGAGGTCATAGACTGTTCCCACTACTGTATACCAAGAATAAATTGTTCTTGAGCAGAAAACATGTGTGGACCTTTGGAGTTTTGTCAATTAAAATAAATGGAATATAGCTTAGTTTTGTCTTTTCTTAGGGTAAGATTTCCATAATAATAACTCTTAACATAACGTGAATAGAATCTGAATGGCATTTAGCTATACTCAGAAACATATGTCCTAGCTTGATAACCTTCAGACACTTGTTTCCTCTTAAATGCTAGGTTGGCTTCTCTATTTCTGTCTAGTGATAATGCACTGATGGTTGGAATGTGAGCTAATTATGCCTCTTTCTTAGTATTCCAAAAGCTTCCCATTGTATTCTGATTTACACGCTGAAAGATTATTTTATTAGATGCCACAAATTCAAACTAAAGAAAAAGTATTTTTTTTCTTAACAAACTATTGGAATGTCATTTCAATATGTCGAGCCGAGGTGGCGCAGCAGTTAGAGTGCAGTATTGCAGGCCACTTTAGCTGACTGTTCAGCAGGTCAGCGGTTCAAATCTCACCGGCTCAAGGTTGACTCAGCCTTCCATCCTTCCAAGGTAGGTAAAATGAGGACCCAGATTGTTGGGGGCAATGTCAATATATATATATATATATATATATATATATATATATATATATATATATATATATATATATATATATATATATACACATTGCTTACTGGTGTACACCGCTTAGAGAGTGCTTGCACTTAAAGTGGTATATAAGTCTCATAAATAAATAAATAAATAAATATCTCTTATAAGGGCTAAAAATGTTTTACCAGCCCTGCATTAAAAAAAAAAATTATGTCTGTTTGAATCTGAAGAGTAGCAATGTTATATCGCTCCCAAACTGATTGTCTTTGAGGAAACTAATCCAATCTCAATCTGTATTTGCAGTGGACACCAAAGGATGATCTCGCAGTCTTAAAACTTCATGGAAGATGTGATGATGTGATGAAGTTGTTGATGGATGAGTTGGGTCTTCCCATTCCTTCCTACGATAGGTCAGTGAGAACCAAACTTGTTCAACGTCACTTTTGTTCAGTGTCAGACTTGGTTAGTGTCATGAAGTAGTCAAATGCCCTTAATAATATAGCTTACTTTTGATTTATTTGGAGGTAGAATTTGTCATCCAAAGTTGTAAGGAAGGTGGTGTGGTCCAAATCCTACTGTAGTTGGATACATTTGGCATAGTAGTTCAAAATGTAAGCTGCTACTTTAGTTCAAGTAGCTGTGTAAATTAACAATACATATTATCATATTTGCCTGTAGAATTAAAGATCCCATCTTTTCTCTGGCTGTTCCTTTGCAACCTGAAGAAGAAAGCAGTCATAACCGAAAACCCGTGGCTCCACCAGCAAGTCTTCATGAAGTACAACTGGGAGAAGAACAACAGATGCATCCAGATCCTCCCTCCGGTGGCTGGTTTGGCAGAGGCTGTGCAAAAGGCACAAAGAGGAAAAAGAACTCTTGATAACCATTTAAAAAAAAAAAAAAGATCTTGAGGACCAACTATAGTTGCTAAAATCAGGGCAAGAAATGACATCTGCACTAGAATTCATCAGGATTACTGGGCTAACTGGAAGAAAACACAGCTGCTATTTTCATAGAGATTTTTTATAATTACGTGACAAGGACCAAAGCCTAGCTTGGGTTTCTGCCGGTTAAGGGGAGGTTGGCATTTAATACTCAGGGCTGCCCAATTAACAATTATTAATAAAATTATTATAAATGGCTGCTGACAGTTATTTGAACATGGGTCTTTTGGTTTTGCTGTAGATACGGGTACAGGTAGTCCTTGAGTTAGGACCACAATTGAGCCCAAACTTTATGTTGCTAAGTGAAACATTTGTCAAATGAGTTTTGCCCCATTCTATGAATTTTCTTACCACAGTTGTTAAGTGAACCATTGATTTAAGTTAGTAACATGGTTGTTTTATTTGGATTCCCCATTGACTTTGCTTGTCAGAAAGTCGCAAAAGCTGATCACATGATCCCAGTACACTGCAGCTATCATAAATACAAACCAGTTGCCAAGCATCTGAATGTTGATCATGTGGCCATGGGGATGCTGCAGCAGTCATAAGTGAAAAGTGATCGTAAATCACTCTTTTCAGTGTTGTTGTAACTTTGAACAGTCACTAAATGAACTATTGTTTAAGTCGAGAACTACCTGTATTCCAGCACTCATTTAGGTCAGCAATTTCTATATAAAAGCTGCCGTGAGCAGCACTCTAGTACTAAATTAGAACTGGAAATAACATATCAGTTGTAGATCTGCAACCCTGCTGACTTTTTCATTTTAGAATGTGTTATGCACCACGGAAAAGTTTCAACTATCAGTGAAACACGAATGGTTGCTAGGCGTAATAATTGTGAAGAAAAAAAGTTATGTGTTTTCAAAAGGCCACATGCAGAAAAGAAGAGTGAAATAGGGTTGACGGAAATCCCCCATCCTCTAATAAGTTGCGGGCCTGGACGGCAGAAACGCGCGAATATCTCCAGTCCAGACCACCGCCAGCCCGATCAGTCCAGCCACCGTCTCTTGCCCGCCCAGCGCCTCCTCTCAATCCGGCCTTTCAAAGGGGCGGTCCTTCGGGAGGGGGGGGTGAAACGTAACGAGCGCGGCGATGCTTTCGGCAGCTCCGGCTCCTCCCTGGTCACGTGGCGGGGGAGGTCCTGACTAGTGACAGCGGTGGGGGTCGGGACGGCAGCTGACCATCCGGCACTCGCTTGCTCAAGATGCTGCGGAACGGAGCTGCCGGAGGCGTCTCCCCTTTCAGCGCCACCGCCCGGCCTGTGCGCGTCTGGTGCGACGGATGGTGAGTGTCGGTCCGGAGAGATGGACCTTGTGGTCGGGAAGCGTGTCTCATAGGGCATTCCTATGGCAACCGCTGCCTAGGCGTCTTTCCTCCGCGGCGTCGACTAACTGCTGCGCCGAAATGGGTCCCCATGGCAACGCCCCTCACGCTTCCGCTTCTGTTGAGCGGCTGCTCTTCGAGGTTTCTCATCAGCCCGGTGCCCGGCTACTGTGCTTACTCCCCGCCAGATTCGCTGGCCTGGAGCATTTCCTTCTCGTCTAAGTGCTGCTTTATGCACCCTGGGTTTCTTTTGCTCTCAGGTTCATCTGGGGCTGTGATCAAAATTGGTGCGCCTAGATCTTTTGGAGACTCAGCCAGAGCTAAATTTACTGTCAAGCTATGATGGGTGGTGGTGGTGGTGGTGGTGAGGGGGCTGTGTAGTGTTGCTGTAGTGTAGCTGTAGTGTAGCTCATCTGAAATTGCGTCTTTTGGCAAGGGTCACTTGACCTCAGCATTTTTGGTGGAGTCTTTTGGCACCACTTCATTTGGGGGGGGGGGGAGATGCTTGAGGTTTCTATCTGCCAGATGTGATTAGGACAGAATTTGTAATGTGCCCGAGCATATGTATGCAAGCAGTAGAAATTAATAAGCAGGCCATTTGCATCAACTGCATTTTTGAGATGAGCTGACTTCAAGGCTGCCAATCCCACAGCCAAGCATTTGGCAGCAGTTTCAGCAGTAGGTTGGTAGCTGTGGTTAATATCTTCATGTGGGATATCTCTTTATCTTCTGATTGTCTTGTTTCTGAAACAGTCAGCTTTTAATAAACAAATCAACCCATGTGAAAGGGCTGGGTGCACTCTTCCCTGTACTGTCAAAAGGACTTTGGAGTTTAGATAGGCTTATAAACACGAGTTGCCCACAAAAGCCTACTTTGAGATTATTAAACATTCTGGGAAGCTACCTTGTTTAGCCACAAAAAGTATTTGTTTTTTATCTACTCGTGATTTTTATCACTGGCCTAAATTAACTTTTATTGCCATGGATAAAATTGGCCTAAATTGTATTTGTAAATGGGTAGGGATGGTATAATAATTGTAAACCATTGCAAGAAGTAATATTGCTCTCCCAGAACTTTGTAGAAGTATCCTGTATTTCCTGTTCTTTTCTGTCAGCATATATAAAGTCAGCTACATGACTCTTGAAATTCAACAGTTTATATTATTGCAGTTTCTATGGCTATCTTTATAACATGAAGATTGTGAGCCAGTTTCAAAATGATTCTCTTTTATTTCTGTTGTCTTCCCAATTGATATTTAAATTCTAAATCAACAAACAAAATCTACCTTAGTTAAATATTGTTGGAATAGAATTATTTGCTTTTGTACAGCAATTGTTTAAACTATTTGTTGTAGTCTTTGGTTACTGATCATATTTGTAGTCTGCTTTATGACCAGATAATTCAGCAGTTTCACTAGTTTAGTGCCATATAAAGTGGTACATAAGTTCCATTATACTGAAGTGATAATTCAATTTGGAATTATTCTGTAATTGCCTACAGTTAACTAGAGAAATAGTTTTTTGTATTAAGTTCACCAATCAATTTTATCTCCATATTTTCATTGGATTCTGGAACTGATTCCACCATAATTGTTATCTTTGGAAGTAATATTTTAATATTTTATATACATTATTGCTACAAAAAATCTAATGCATAAACAAATTTACTCCTCATTACTACCCCTTTTTGAAGTTATGGTAATTTATGCAAGGTTTTTTTTTTCTTTGTAATAGTTTATAATACAATCCTAGCTATGGAGACTTCTTGGCATTTTTATAAACTCCTTGGTGGAAAAGTATTCAATGTTCCCTAACATGTTTTCCTAGGAATGCCCTGATCTTGTTAGTCCTGCTTTCATTCTGAATTAACCAAACAGCTATTCATTTCTTGCTAATCTTAAACTCATAGACATCATTTCTTATCCGAATTAGTATAATGGTGGTAGCATCTATCCAATCTTGGATGAACTTGAGAATGTTAAATAGAGTCACGTTATTCTCAGGACTGTACGTTAGACTGGAAAGTCATTTTTTTAAAAAAAAAAATCCTAGTAAACAACTTCTGCATTAAGTTGAGGCATAGCAATGTATTGCGGTTGGGCTTGTTGGAATGCCTGAAAAAATAACTCATTAAAGATATCAACAGCCATGGAGTTTTTTAACAGCAGCATCATAACAATTTCCTGGGTTTTTTTTAAAAAAAGGAATAATATAAACCATTCAGTATTTATTGCCTGAAAACATCATAAAGAAAATATTTAAAATTATAAAGTCAAGAGTAGAGTGCCATTTGAAAAAAAAAGGTCATATACTAGATCTACTAACAAGTTGAAATCATAATGGTAAATATAGGGATATTCAGGCATTACCCATGTTTCAGTGAAGTATCCTATGGAGTTTCCAGATGAAGTGAAAATCTATAGCAAAAAATTATTGAGCTAGACAAATGTCTAAAGGACCTTTTAGTATTGGTAAAAAAAAGTTAGAAAGGAAACAAACTACCCAGAAAAATGTCACACAATGAACAAAATAGAATCAAACAATGGGTAGTAAACAACATATTCATGGTATCCGGAAGATGAAGGAAAATATATTTGGCATTGAGGTCATCATAGAAAATGTATTTATTATAAACATGTGCAAGTATTAACATCCTGTAATACTTGTCTTGGTGGATTTTTAAATTGCAAATGCAGCTAATATCAGCAATATCCCAGTTCAGTTACAGAGGAAGGGGACTAATGGACATGGAACTGTTCCAGAAGTTGTCATGGAAACTAGATTTAAAGTCATATGACTCCTGGAAGATAACTCTGGGAATGCTGGCACTAAGACTCATTCTGAATTGTCATATGATAGGTGTGGGCCCCATTACAAACTGCTTGGCATGTGCTAACATCTGGGTTATAGCCAAATTAAACGTGAAGGATTGAAGTTCTCCTGAAACTATTCTTATTTTATTAATGTGTAATCCATTTTTCCATTCACACACTTTTGTTTTTAGTTTGGAAAAAAAATAATCTGTTATTTTAGCAAAATAAAATATCCTGTATTAATTTATTTAGGCACATTTATTTGTAGAATGCTTTCACCATTTACTCTTTCTTGTCATTATCAATCAGAGAAGCTGCACTAAATGAGAAATGTAATTGTGGAAACTCAGATTTTATTTGAGCTGAATTTTAAGCTAACCAAAAGTGTGAGCAAACCTAATTTCAATAACTTTCATTAGCAAAGTTTTAAAAACAACAGAAAAATGTACAGGGGATATAAATGTGACAGGATTCAAGATGCATTGTAGAAAGAAAAATCAGGTCCACTTCCAAGCTGGGAATAAAATGGAGGCTGTTTGGAAAGGAGGTTAGTGAAAAACAGAACCCACAGCAGCATGAGATTCTGGGAGAGCTGACAAAATTGAGTTGGGAGTGGGTGGGTTTTTAATACCTTCTTTGGGCTTTGTATTTGAGGTTGTTCCTGTTGCTGTGCAATGTACTTTGACCTGAGCTTGAGTGTGCCCTTTTGGTATTCTAATGATGATGGGTTAATTCTATTATGTCCTAAAGCTCATGTTCCTTGGAGTCTTTGTTTTTCTAATCCCCTCAGCTCCAGCTTTCCTGTACCAGTTTTCCTGAACGAATTACCAAATCTGTATTTCTAAAAGTTGGTCTGCTTGGGGGAAGGAGACTGGGGGTTGGTTTCTGCCTAAGATTTTTCTCCATTATTCTTTTGGGGAAATATAATATTCTGCCTTTTTTAATATCCCCCAAAATATTTCCTTCTCTAGAAGGGTGGATGGGTGCTAACTTCCAACAATTCCCCCCTTTGTGCCATATAAGTGTGGGTGACACACTTTTACTGGCACAAGATTAAGAATTGATCTGAT